TGTGTGTGGGTGTGTGTATGTTGATGTTGGTTTGGCTGTGTGTGGGTGTGTGTGGGTGTCTGTCTGTGTGTGTATGCATGTGTAGATGTAGATGTGGTCCATAGGAAGACACGAAGATGCTCACAGAGCACTTTTCCTATGAAGACAGGCTGAGACAGTCGGAGCTGTTCAGCCCATAGAATAAGAAGGTTCTGGAGAGACCTTATTGCAGGGGCTACAAAAGAGCTTGTCACAAGAGCATGACAAGGGGGAATGTCCTTGAACTTAAAGAAGGTAGATCTAGATTAGATATTAGGAATAAACTCTTTACTATGAGGGTAGTGAGGCACTGGAACAGGTTGTCCAGAGTAGTTGTGGATGCCACGTCCCTGGAAGTGTTCAAGACCAGGTTTTTTTCCCTGTTAAGGCTATGGTTTTAAAACTGCCTGTTTTCAGAAAAAAAGCTACCATTCCTTCCCACTGGTCAGGCAGTGCATATAATGATAACACAGTATGAGTATCCATATAGGAAAGATATAGCTGATAGCAAGACTAGCATCACCCAGAGAAAGTTTAAACACTAAAGCTAGCTGAGGAAACCATGGTTTTAAAGACATTCAGTGAACTTCCTGATGAAACATAGATTTTCGGAGTGCCATCAATGTTTTTTCAGCATACTTCAAGAATAGATCATAACTATGTGTAAGTTGTTGTTTCATTTGAATCAGTCTCAGAATAATTCCTGTGAAAAAGTCCTGCTTGTACCTTGTTTGTGAGCAGCTAACTGGGAGGTGATAAAATATTTTGTATTTTATACATTTTTATGGGAAAGAGAGGCTATGTGATACAGTTCTAATCCCTGAGTAAATCAGGTATGCTCTCACAATCTCAGGCAAATATAATTATCCTGATAACTCCCCTAAGTATTCAGCCTGGAAAGAATAAGAAATTATCTTATTTTTCGTGCTTTAAAGATGACCTTCAATAAAAGCTTTTGTTTGTGTTCCAACAAACTTTAATACAACCCTTTGTTTGCATTCTAACGTGCTTCTATACCCTCGAGTGAAGGACATGATCCCGAGACACTCCTGTGTTTGTGATCTGCCCGGCAGCCACACGCTGCCCAGGGCTGGGCTGGCCTGAGCTGAGCTTCCCCGCGTGTCCCGTGCTGCTGGGGACTGAACTGCCACCGCGTGGACATTCTGCCGACCTGCACATTCCCGGGAAAAGGCGAGGAGCGAGAGAGATCTGGGAGCCGACCACAAGCGGAGAGAACTGGGAACTCTTAGGTGAAGTCCCAATGCGAATTTGAAAAGCTGGTGAGACAGAGAGTTGGTCCGAACTCCTGCTCTCTTTTGCTTGGCGTTGCATGGTTATCTAGGTTTGAAAACATTCTGTTCTCTCTCTGAAGGTGCAGCAGTGTTTAAGTTGGAAGTGAGAACAGCAAGGAGAAGGCAGAGCATAGGCAGCTCTTGTGCTGGGAAATGCCTTCAGGAGCACACAAATAGCCAGAGGGCTGGGCATCCTGGTCACTCAGAATTTACCACGGCAAATGTGGACAGGAAAACTCTAATAACATGATAATAATGATAAATTAGCTGATCTAAAACCAGACCTATAGCCACAGATTGATATAGCTGGATATAGGAGTCAAAACAAAACCTGCAGTGGGTTAGGTGTTACTTACCCAGCATTGCCAAATACAGCCCTTTGCAGTGATTTTCACCCTGAGTCAGTTGTCCCCCAGCCCTTATATGCTGAGGTCATGATCATTCTCAGACAATAAAAATGTCCAGCATGGAGTGGACAAGTGAATGGCAAGATGTTATTACTAACAGGAACAGTCTAAGGGTTTAGTGATTGCCAACAGCTAATGCCCCTGAGGAACAAACTACTTGAGGTGATACTTGTACAACTGACTGAACACCACAGCCTTTTTTTTCTTTTTTTTTTTCTTTTTTTTTTGTTTAAAAATAGCATCCCTATTTACCACATTCTTGCAGAGGAATGATTGCCATCTCCATCATAGCTGCTTTTCTGACAATGTTGAAACATTGCTCGAGGCAGCTCTATATCTGCACCTGTGCCCCAGACATGAGAGCCTTGGGAAAGTCATGTAGGAGACAGCAAGGTATGAACACACATCACATGGGTTCCATGTTTTGTTGGTTTGCAGAGGGAAAAAACCTATGTTTTCTTAAAGCTTAAATTTGGAGCACAGTTAGTGGTTATGAAAAGAGGTGCAAGCATCTTTTGATATAGAAAAATGTGTGTTTATGTCTGAAAGTATCTAAGGGGGCCAATGCATCCCACATACCACGCTGACCTTTAGAGAGGACTACTGGCATGTTTCCAATACACAATCAGACTTGGATATTGACACTTGTGACTGTTATTCTCCTCTGTGCTTCTGAATTTCTATGCTGACCACACCCAAACAGTGACAGGCTGAGCTCTCCTACAGAGGATGGATTTGTGCTGGGGACTGTCCCCCCCATAGCTGCATCAATGCTAACTCGTGAAAGGTGCAGGCTGAGCTGGGCCCAGCCCTGGGTGTTTGTTGGGTTTGGGCCCTGGGGCAGAGCAGGCATTCAGGAGCTGCTGTTCCCCCTTGGCCATCATAAAGCCCAACACAAAGGTTTTACTGGTGAGAGGCTGACAGGGGAGATAAAGGCAAGACAAACACGACGGCAGCACGATGGCAGCACGTGAAGCTGGGGCCCCAGGCTCACCTTTGCACCCTGTGCCAGTGTCACCCACAGTGCCACCACTGAGCTTTCTGAACTTGAGCCATGTCTTCAGTACAATTTCAATGTCAATGGATTTCTCTGTGCTTATTTAATGTGATACATGTGCCTCATGCTGTTCATACCCTGCAGCCTGACCTGGGCAGAGGCAAAACTCCCCTGACATGGAGGATATCTTCATGGCATTCTCCAGCCAGGGCTCAGCTCCAGGAGGGTTTTGCCAGCATGTGAGTGAGAACCCCTGATACAACACCCTACCTATTTCACTATCCCTTCACTGCTTGAGCAGCAAACTCTAAAGATTATCCTAGATATGTTGGGAAGATTTATCTATTGGATTTCTTGGAAAGAGCATGGTAAGTTCAAATAAGGATAATGTCAATACTGCAGACTACAACACAGTGTGGCAGTGAGTGCTCAGGCTGGATGCTGAGCTACACAAGGATGTAAGTGAAAAATCCTGAGCTATGGACAGAGCTACTCTGCCTTGCAGGCAGAGAAAAAGACAGGGAAAGGTTGAGTTTACACTGTTCCCTTAGAGATATGGTGATGCAGCTGTGCTAACTTAAGGACAGATATGTAAGGAAAAATGCAGATGCTCCAGTCTCAGTCACAGAGTTGAATCGGGAGACAAGGCAATAAATTATATTGCTACTAGACAAAACTTTGGGACTGCCACATGAGGAAGTACATGAGGAAGTCTGGTTGTACTGTGGGCTAGTTTAAGATTTATCCTGAATTTGTATCCAGGAAGTATACTGTCATGTTCAAGTGTAGCTTATTAGTTTATCTAATGCTTACTTGGTGTGACATCCTGCTATATAAAAATGATATCACTAAGAATCCTATTAAACAACAGATAAGATAGCAGGTATTTAAATGCATGTGTACTTGTGTGCTTTAAATAGTACAGGCTCATCATTTAAATACCAGTGAGCTAGACTGACAGACACCAGGAGTTAGAACAGATATATTTTAAGCTTGGAAGGGACCACAATGATCAGAAATGCTTTGCCAGCATCATAGAGTGCACTGACCTGGCAGGCACTGACATGCACACACAGCCACGTGTGCTGAGCTGGCTCGATCCCATTTGAACACCTTCCCCACTCAGTGCAGGCTGGGAGAAGGGATAAGAGGGGGAAAACCCCCTGTACTTAACAAGTCTTGTCTCTTTCTCTGCTAATAAACATTTCCCTGTGGAGCTGGCAGCACCCACATAGCAGCATCGCAAACACCTCACCAGCAAACACGGGGTGCAGGGCTCTGTGCCAGCACTGCCAGGCACAGCTGCTCTCACCCAGAGCTGGCTCCCCTGTGCCCCTGGCTGCCACCAGAGCCTGTGTCACCCTGCCTGCCAGCCAGGAGGGCTGGAAATCCCCACCAGCAATATCCAAGATGTACGTGGCCTCTGCTTGTCCTCAGGATGTTCAAACAGACTAAAGCAGGTGCAGGGTAACTAACAGTTAAATTAGAAAAAGAATACTTTATAGTTAGAAAATGCTGGTGAAATTCCTGCCTAATTCGTCTGTGGCAGACATCCTGGAATCACCTCAATTCCTTCAGGGTAACTTTTATTGTGCAGGTCTTTTTTTTCTACCCAGAAGTTTTCAAGTATAACTATGACCAAGATTCTCCTTAAAATCTCCCAGACAGAGGGAGCTGAAGTTTGGCCTAGGAGCCAAAAGAAGTGAAAGAGGAATTTGGAAAAAGAATGTTTGTATCTTCACCTTCTATTTTCTTCCAGTCCTCTAGTTCCACCAGCTCAGTAGGTTCCAACTCTTTTAACAGAAGAATTTGCAAAGGACTCCCCTGTTCCCTGAACATTTTGAAGTGAATTTCTGCACTTGAAACAAATAAGTTTGCAACTTCACTGCAAAGGGAAAGGCCTGATACCAGTCTGGTGCCTGATGGCATTTGTAGGTTTTCAAATGAAATGAGAGTAGCACTTCTCAAAAGGCACTTTATGCATCTGTTCCTCCTTTTATACTTCATAAGAAGTAGGGGGAAATATTTTTTTTTGATCATCTGGTTTTGTGTATTTAAGGTGTTCTTTAATACCAAAAACAGTTTAATGGGAATTTATCAGAAAGTTCAGGAAAAATATTTAAGATAGATTAATTTACCCTATTCATGTTTTAGGCTTAAGAAGATACTGTCAACTTGAAATTGAGTTAAATTAAATATCCACAGTAAGGTCTTTAGATACAAGGTTTTGCTTGTGAACTTTTTTAGACACACTGGTCATTTTATATTTGAGGGGTTTTAGAGGATTTTTGGGGGATTTTTTTGTCTTTCTCATGTTCTTGTGTGAGCAGCAAGACTAAACCTATCCTGATTACACCAGGAAAAACAAATAACCAGGCCAAATGCTTTAATAAGACATGTGTCTCCCATTGCCACTCAGGTGAAAAACACATTTCAGACAAAATAGGGCTGCTTTTGTTTGCTTTTTTTTTTAATATCCTCTAAAAAGGGGTAAATATTACTAGACTATTGCCCCAGTGTATTACCTCTTGTCTAGTCATTCACACCTGTGAAAAACTGAATGGAAAAACATGTACATGTTATTAAGTTTGGGAAAGTGGAAAAACATGTACAAAAGTATCTTCAGAGCTAAACTGGATAATGATTCTGTCCATCTAAAAAAGGCCAGATTTTCAATCCTGTTCATGTAAAAGGGGTTAGATTTTCTTTTCATTTAGGCTAATATAAACGGCAGAAATATTTTCCATGCAGTACACTATGGTTTCTTCTAAATCACCTGATTTTGCTTATCCTTGATGACCAATAGGTTTATACCAACAAAAAGCATTACAGAAAAAATAATTTTCCTTTAAACTACTGAGTGGAAGGTTAAAAAAATAGATATACTTTTATAATTTGCAAAGAAAGGCACAGATTTAGAAAGGCACGTCCTTAAAAACCTCAGCTTAGAGCTGCAGGTGGCAAAGCAAGGCAAACAATGCAAATGCTTCCATAAGAGTGAAACCCAGCCATTTGGGAACTTATTTTTTGGCAAAACATTGTGATGCACAGCTGAAGAATGCTGTATTAAGAATCCTGTATTTTGACAGGGGAAAGGGCAACAGGATGCATCTCTTTTCTGATCTATAAAGGCTAATGCTTGGGAGTTTCTTCCTACAAAAAAAACCCCATAGAAATGCAGCCTCTGCCCACAACATACTGAATTCAGTGCTTCATTTTTCTTTTTTTTTTTTTCCCTCCGAGGCAAATACATGGGGACAAACATGAAGAAAACATAAGATTATTTGAACAGATGCAGCATCCCCATGGCAGGGCACACCCTCCTCAATACTGCAGCTGGTTTAGAGAGCTGGGCAAGAGAGGGATGTCTCCCAGTCCCTCAGCTGGCTGTTGTCACCGGTCTGTCACCTCCTCCCGGCTGCACACCACGCCAGCATCCTCCTCGTGCTTGCAGTTGTGCGTGCCCACCCCGGCGTGGGAGCACTCCAGCAGCGTCCTCTCCTGCCCGGAGCACTGCACATCATCCAGGAGGATGCGGAGCGAGCTGCCTTCCCCGAACTCCGCCTTCTTGGTGGCGCGCACGGCGCGGGGGAAGCCGAGCTGGCGGCACACCACGGCGGCGGCGGGCAGGCCCCAGCCATCGTCGCACACCGTGCCCCACTCGCCGTCGATGAACACCTCGAGCCGGCCCCGGCCGCGCCCGCGCCGGCCCTGCCGCATCAGCCGCACCGCGCCATTGCCGGGGCCCTGCTTCTTCTTCTTCTTCTGCCTGCGCTGCCCCTTCTCCTCCTCCGGGCCCTTCCCCGGCCGGGGGGCTTTGCCCGGCCCGGGGACGCCTCCCCACGGAGCCTCGGTCGTGGGCTGCAGGCGGGGACGTGGTGGGGGTGTTTTCATAATAAACTCTGTTGGGGGAAAAGGCAGAGAGCCGTGAGTCCGTCAGTCTCTGGGCAATGCTTGAAGACAACTATATGAAACTGTAGCAAGCTCTGAGTTTGCTATGGCTCCGTGGCCTGCTGAGACTTAACAGTAGGAACTGCTGAGTTATGATGAGACAGCAAAATAAGCTCCTGTCTTCTGCCTCTCGACTCATAACTTACCTCTGGCCACTTTTCCCCTAACCCTTACTGTTGGACAAGTTCGGATCCCCCTATACCCTATAAAAAGGGGCTGGTTTAGCCCATTCAGCAGAAGAAGAGCTGTCGCTGGAACCCTTCACAGACCCCTCAATAAACCATCGCTGTGGAATGCTAGCAATGGTTTATTCTTCTCCTCTCTCGCCATTTGCTTCTATCCTAGCCCAAAGGCGCCCTAGCAAGCAAGCTCGAGCTGAAATCCTAAGAGAGCTGAGAATCACTAAAGAGCTGAAATCCACTAAGCTTGCTTAGGGTAGCCAGCAGCTACAAGCTGACTGGGTATTCGGGCACTCTGTCTCCAAAAGGGACTGAGTTATCCAGATAGGCCTGCCTTGCTCGGGGTTAAGCCCCATCTGAGGGCTGGGGTCTTGGGGGGAGACGGACCCCCCTTTTTCATGAAACCAGTGCTGATTTTTGACTTGTATAACTAATTTCTTGGAATTTGTCTATTTGGTCCTGTTGGGAAGCAACGACACTCTTAGCGACACGGTATTTCCTCAGTGGAAATGTCGGCTGCTGTTTGCTAGCAGAGAGGACTGCAGGGCTCAATGCCAACACTGAGCCTCTCCCAAAAAGGAAGCTCCAAGAGGTTTCTTGGCAAATGCCAGCCTGGCCCTTAAAGGGTCAGTGCTGGAGCTCCACAGTCAGGAGAGGAACTCTACACCATATCCCAGTGAAGAGCCACCAAAAGCATTTTACAGACAGGCTCTATTTCTGCTCTTCTCTTCATTACTGAGGGTTGGATCGTTACCAGAGGAGAGCGTGGCCTCCCCACTGGGCCAGATGCTTTATTCAGAAGAGCTGAAATCAGGAACATTCAAAATCAATTCTCTCTGGCAACTGGAATATGCAAGAGGAACAGAGTTGCCAGGACAACACATAAAACAGGATTTGGGGTTGGGTTTGTTCTTCCTTATTAAAAAAGGGAAAAAAAAATAAGAGCCTTGAACTCTGAAGAGATGAAAATTCTTTGCTGTCACAGTTTCCAGGTGTTACTGGATTTACTTATTCACATGTGTTTTATTTTTAGCTTAAAAATAAGTTTTAGTTTGCCAGAAGGAAGCAATTCAGAATTTAATGGAATAACATTCAACAGAGCTGGGACAGTGTCACAGACATTTGCAAAGACATCATGACTTTGAATTATATCCCAGATTTATGCATCCTCATTCATCATTTCGTTTGTAGTACAGAGAGGAGGAAAATATCACTCTCTTATTTGTGCTTAGTATCTATTGTCCCCAAAGGACAAACCCTCGCAGTGTCCATGTTTTTCCAAATAATGCTCTTTGAAAAGGAATTGTGTTCATGACATGAAAATATTTCCTTCCCTTGAAAGCTGTGGTTCTCAAAGCAAGAAACAGATTTGAAGTCCTTACCTGTGCACAGCTCGTTTGCTGGAGCCTGGTCTGGCAAAGCACTTGAAAACCATGGGACTGATTGAATACTGTGTAGGACTGCATGAAAGCTAACGGTCACCTGGGAGAGCTTTTCACCTCACTGGATCAAATTCTCATTATATAATACTCTCTATTAAACTATTTATTAAATACACTTCCAAAAAATGCACTCATAGCTAATACAAGGCAGATGCCCTGGTGATTCTGTTACATTCTAAATACTAACCAAAATAAAAGACTAAATACTAACCAAAACAATAAATATTTACAGCTACACATCCTTGTTTGCATGCTTCTGAATCAAAATGGCCATGCTTATTTTTCACCAAAAGGAGAGGGTAGCTCTTGACACACTAGGTAGAATCTCTCTCACCATTTCTAAGTTTTAATTTATGAAAAAAGCTACCTTGTAAACAAGCCTAAAGGATTTAGTGATATATATAGTTTAAAAACCTGAACTTTGGACTTGTGTAGATAATAATGCACAAGCAGAAACAGACAAAAATGGTTGAACATGAACCAAGCAACTAATATTTGGAAACTGCCTGCACAGCTAGAAAAGGAGAAGATCTCTGAAGATACTGAGTGCTCAGACATGTCAGCAGTCAATAATTAGCCTTAGAGTTTGTTCCACCTTAAAGAATCAGTGTTGCAAGGTGCTGAGTGCCCTCATTATTCCCTGAAGCCAAAGCTGTAGGAACTGTTAGTGACTCAAATGCAATGTAACATGATTAATGTAATTAAAAATTAAATAAAAGTATCCTGACTTTGGAGTTCCTGCAGTACCATTAGCTTTGTTCATGGACTATGAAAGTTCATGGACTATGCTGAGTTGGAAGGGAATTTGTTGGGGTGCTGCCTAGGTACCTACATGTGTAAATTACAAGTAGAGGGGAAAAGAACAGTGATACTGCCTAGTCTACTTTTGAGATCCTAATATTGTGTTTAGGTTTTTGTACCTCACATAAAGATTACTTGGCTTGCTGCAGATTCAGCTCCACTGACTATTCCAGCTTTAGCAGTACAATACTTCATGCAACATGAAGCAACGAAAAGGCCCTGGTGGGTTTGGGTAAGCCAAAAGTTCACCTCAGTGTGTGATCACTGATTCTTTTGGGAGCATTTTCTCATCCCATATTTTCTCACTTTCAACGAACAATGACTCAGCTCTCATCTTGCTCAGTGAACTACTTCCCAGCCCTTTACCCATCATATCCTCTTCACTACCTGAAGATACTCCAAAAAATCACTTGTCACTGAAAAGCACCATTGACCACAGGGTCTATGGACAGGCACAGTTACAAGAAAACCAAGGTGGTGGTAATGAAATGTGTACAATGTAGCATGAAAAAGGGAAAATGAACAGGGTCAGAAACTACAAAGGAAATCTCACATGGCCAGGAAAGGGGAAATACTGTATGACTTATTTGAACCAACTCTTCAGATCCAAAACATCTGGAAAGATTTAATTTTGAGGATATCCTGAAGAGTGAAGTTCTGGGTATTTTCCACATGTGTGGACAGATAGTGCAAGTCTGGAGTTTGTATCTAATGCCAGCTAACATGAACCAATAATAAACAGCAAGAGTTGCACTCACTCTCCTTTGGCACAAATGGGATGCGCTTGCTTTTGACTTTCACTGGCGAAGGCTCAACTTGGCATTTTCCTGGTGGTGCTGTCCTTGAAAGAAAGGGACACATACACTGCACAATTAATTCCTTTTCTCTGGCATTGCAACACTTTGCTTCCCATTGTTTTTCTAAGAACATAATTCTTATTGAGAAAAAAAAAGTCTGTTTAAATGATGCTACTAATCTCTTACATTAGAAAACATAACTAAAGAATCACAGATCACCATTGATGAAAGCCCAAATATTCACAAGGCAGTGAAGTCCTCTGTGTTTTCAGTTGACACTATTGAAGCCATTAAGGAAATAAAACATTGGCAGGTTCAAGCACGACAGAAAGAGATTAATCAAAATGAAAATAAAAATTACAAAACTAGACAGTATATGTTGAACATCTGACACAAAGGTCATGTGTACGCACGATTTCAGACTGTTTTCACGGAAGCAAAATAACACACTATTATTCATACAGAAAGCCCAAACAAATGTCGTGCCAAAAATGCATTAGTTTCAGAACAGAAATCTAAGTGTCTCCTCAGAGGCTTTGTCTTAGTATGGTGCTTTATTTTGACACAATTAGTTTGCCACAGAGATGTATTTCACTTCTGGGAAGTCACATCCAGCTCATCACCACTTTTTCCTATGACAGAGGTCTTGGTAATCCTCAGATTTCTTCAGAGGTTTTTAAACTGGTTCAAAAATGCATTTGGAGGATAAAACTCCTGGGCAATTAGGATTGTTTGCATTTGCATTTCTGTGGAAGGCAGAGAGCCTCTCTCTTAACTGTCTATACAAGGATGTTCCCTACTTTTATGAACTTTCCAATTACTTTTTTTGGTACTCTGAACATGAATGAAGGTTTTTTTAAGCTTAAACTCACGGCTGGTGTTTGACTCCTGCTTTCTCTATTTCTGCACAGGTTGCGTAATACCAGCTTCTTCATACACAGTTTACAGGAACTCTTCTGTTGCATTAGATAATGGAAAATGCTCCTGACAGAGGAGAGTTGGAGGAAACACATGACAGATCTGGGGGCTTTTTAAGTTTGGGGATTGGTTTCAATGTAAAACTAGACAAGTGGCTTGGTTCAAAATCCTCAGATAGCTAAAGCTGTAAATTTAATCCATTTTAAAAAATCTATAAAAAAATCTCACTCTCCGTTTCTGGCTGAAAGTAGCTTGGTGTTCAGCCAATAATAGTAACACTTTAAAAACAGGAAGATGGAAAAAACAGCTGTAAGTCTTCCCATAAAACACAGCTATTCCCTGCCTTGCCCAGTCTCAGATACAGGCACATGGAAACCAGGAGGTGTAATGATGGTCCTTTTTTCTTGTTCAATCCATATTGCTCTTTGAAACACTGAGAGGAATGTACTTTTTGCTTTTCATGTCTGGTTTGCCCAGAAAGGCACTGCAGGTAGTGCTGGTCCAGCTTTGGCTGCCATGGTCTGGGGGCAGAGGGCTCTTGTGGGAGATAAAAAAAGGGATGGAGAGGAACTCAGAAAAAGCATGTTGAGAAAAAGTGCCTCCTTTTGGGCAGAAACCTAGAGAAACTTTGCCAAAGAAAGACAAGCCACCCACAAAATACTTTAGCATTCAGGAAATGCTAAATATATATAACATCAACAAGCCCCATAAAAGTTTGGCATATAGACCCCCACAACTGTAGTGGCAAAGCAGACCCACAGTGGGTTGCTCCAGATGTTCCTTGATTGAATTCCCCAGAAGGACCCAGCATGGGAGGAGAGTTAATTAGTCAGCCAACATGACTCATCACATCCACACCATCCTACCAGGACTCACTGAACCATCACCAGGCCTTGTAACAAGAACATCTCATACCTGGAGGTGTCCACCACTTTGTACACCACTCCATTGGGAGCTGTGGCACTTGGTACACCAGTAGATAGGAAGTACAATTCCCCTGGTAAAAAAAAAAAAACAAACCAGATAAACCCATGAAAACTGTCCATGGAGTTTCTGTCCCTTGCAGCACAAAAGCATTAACTCTGTATCACAGGTCTGAGAGTCATCTGCAGTCCACTGGCATAAAATACTCTTAGTGAGTGGCAGCTTTCACTGAGTTGTCATGAATTACTATTTGGACAAATTTCCACTGCAGGTTCACCTGCCCCAACCTTCCTTGTCATCTCATTATGATCTGTGTCCTTTGACTTCTCTAAAGTAAAACAGCCAAACCCTGAATTACCTTTGTTGAAACGAAAGGAAATTAAGAAAGTCCACTGTCTTCTGCTCATTTGGATGAAGCAGTCCTTTGGGGTGAATTACAGGAGAACAAGATTTTCCTTTCTCTAGCACACTCACAGAGTGAGACATATCCCAGACAAAAGGCATTTGATTCATCACAGCTCTGTCAGGTCACATGTGCAGGGCTCAACCTTCAACCAAACAATGTCCACCACCCTTTATTTGACTTATTTTCTCTTAACTGCATTTCTATCCTTCTCCTGTTGTGCAGGGGAGACTGGGATAAACAGTCCTTCTGGCACTATTTTGAGAGCTCAAGTGCTTGAGAAGTGCAACAAGAAGGATCAGAGAGAAAAAATATATTTGCAATATTTAAAAAATGAGAGAAAATAGAAAAAGAGGCTCTGTGGACTTGCTTAGTGAATAAGGGAGATTTTTTGGGTGCTCTATGGGTAATCCAGGGGGAAGAGGGAAAGGAACAGAGAGGTCAGTGTGACCAAAGGAATGTGTAGGCAGCTGGTGGCAGCTGAGGTGAGTCTCCATCCTCCTTCCTGCTCTCCTGGGCTGGCCTGGGCTGAGCTCCTCCAGACAATCTCAGGGCAGAAACCTTTGGCTACCCCTGGCTGGTGGCTACATTTTTCTGGTCAGCTTCATTAATGACAGGCCAGAGGCAGCCTTGGTCCAAGTGGACAGGAAACAGCTGGCACTGAGTTTTGTGGTGATGTGTGCTTTACATCCTGCCCCTTTCCTGGAAGTTACCAGCAGGAGTTTGGATGCTCAGGCCATGAAGCACACAGACTATACACATATGACCCACAGACACAGTGCTGGGGTGCCTCTGACAGGTTCTGCTGGCCAGGGATGGGGCTGATGGCCTTATGATTGCAATGAGCCAAAACCAGAGATCTCCCCACAACATTTACACACCCACTGCAGCAGGTAGATTAACATCCATCAGAGCAACAACTTCAAAGCTTCAATGCTTCTGTGAAGAAAACCTTGTTAAAATAAACTGTGTGGCGAACTTGTAAGGCATGAGATTCCTAGTACACAAAAAAGGTGAAGAAAAGGCTGTTCACAGCAGATAAAGCAACCTCACCACATTGTTATCAACAGATTTCTTTCCATTACTATAAAGCAAACACAAGGCAATTATCTGCCTCTGAAAAAAGACTCTAGCCCAAATCTCCACTCAGCTCTATCATACTTATGCAAGGCACAGTGCAAAAAGGTGGCAGCACTTCACCCCTGTTTTGTTCAGACTCTGTTGACAAGCACAGGATGAGGGAGATCATCCTCGTGCATGAGCAAGGGCTGCAATCAACAGCTTGATATTGCACTCGGCACAAAGCTGATTTGAACTAAATTATTTGATTTTAGGTTAAGATATCCTTCTCACCACAGCACTGTGAAATAGCTGTAAATTCCATGAATATTAACCATTAAAGAAAATTGAATTTAACTCTAAAAAAAAGTCAAACTTTCAAGCTAATACTTAACTTGGAGGATTTGCATTCACAAGATAAAATTTGCATTTATATGATTTGAGCAACATCCAAACTTGACATAATCTGCAGGAAAAAGCAGATGTTTAAAACTGGGGCATTCTGGAAGCAGGTGCCTGTGATCATGAGCCAAGACCTCCCTGGAGCAGGGTAGAGCACAACTCCTGCCTTGCTGGGTCACACATGAAGCACACATTGTGGGGCTCATCCTCTGCCTGCCCCCAGCCAGGGGCTGCATGGGCTGCACATTCTGCAACACCCTTGTACAAACAGCAGGAGAAACCACCAGCTTGCACCGCAGGACTCTTTATTTCCTCCTTTTCAAATCACAGCAGCAGTTCCCTTCCAGAAATCAAAATGTCTGCAGTCATGAAAACACAGCAAAGCTCTACTGAGATCCTTCAGTCCTATGCAAGGCAAAATCCCAGCTGGCAATAATAAAATATGGTCTTAAAGACTCTTTTGCTGATGTCTCATGCAAGACATAATGCAAGCTTTGTTCTGCTTCATCCTGAGAGGCAGAAATACCCCAGCCCAGAGTGAGCAGATATATAATTGCTGTTCTTGACATCTGCTTCCCTGTACCCATTACTAATGCCCACAGCCTTCTCAACCAGACAAGAGGATAGAATTGCTCTCCCTTGGGTCTAGGTTCTCAGGCTCCCAGGGCCTGCATCCTCTTGGCATGGCACTGTGAGGAATGAGGTTTCTTTTCTAAGTTTGTTTTATTCTACTTGCCCCCTCTGCTCCCTGTTCTCCAGAGGGAAGGGCAGCAGCACATCCAGCACACCAGACTCAGTCCCAACGCAACTGACTCCATCTCCCACTGCAGGCACTGCATGGCACTCAGACCTCAAAATGAGCACTGTAACTTTGGTATCTGGGAGATGCTGAGAATCTGATATTTTAAAGACTAGTGCTGTGCCTCTCCACGACCTGCTGCCCTCTCTGATCCCTTCTCTGGTGTTCTGTTCTGAAATAAGCCATTCAGTGTGACACAAAGTTAAACATTACCTGCTTCATCTTCAGCAAAGGAGATGATGTACTGATAATAGTTATTGATAAGCCCAGGGAACATGCACGTTTGTCCTGTCCCCATGCAGATTTCACTGTACTGCCATTCTCCAGTAGCACGATCCTCCTTCAAAGACATCAGGCGTCTGCAAGGCAAAAGAACACTTCCACAACCTGACCCAGATGATGTACGAATGGACACCTGAATGGATATTTAATGCTTCCTGCTCACACTAGCTGCAATAGGGACTGCAGCTTCTCTGAGTGAAAGATTGCTTAATATTAACCCAAATATATGATATACCCTGCAACACCTTGTCTTCAAGGGCAACACAAGCCCATGAAAAAACAAGAGGGGAGGATTGAAGGGGTATCAGGCCATTTTGGGGGGGATTTTGGCTGGGGGTACAATTCTGTGAGCGCCCTAAGTGTTTACTTACCCACTCATAAAATCACCAAATATGTACAGGCCATTCAGGTTTGGAGACTCACAGCCTCGGTAGACGTAGCCTCCTGTAACAGATTTCCCCATTTTGTGTGGATATGCATAAATTGGAAGCACATCATCTGAAAGGCAGAAAAGATCTGTGACTTATTTTGCACATGCTGCAGAATAGCTCTTTATCTAGATTGTTCTGAGACTAGGAGAGTACAATCAGGTTCCCTGGTGCATCTTCTATTTAAATGAATTGCCAATGGAGTTGTATTTAGTTTGATTTTCACCTTTCCAGAATCACATTTGATTGCCCTACCCCTCACCAAGACACCTCAGCATTCTCCTGAGCTCTTCTCCTCCCACTAGAATCCACATCTGTTAGTGCCACTTCAGGCACATTTCTACAGAGCTTGTCTGGTTTAGCTGCAAATTCAGAGGTTAGTCCTCGAGCCACTGCACCCATGCAGGAAATGTCTGCCCAATGCAGCTTTGTCTAGGTTGTGAAAGAAAAAAAAGAGGTGGGTGACTCCAGACTGCAAGCACTGATGAAAAGATATGTCAGATGTCAGCACAAATAGCTTCTGTTCCTCTGAGATGGAGAAGCAACTTGAAAGGGCCATCAAATATTTATGGGATGGCAGAGGCATGAATGATGTAGTACTGGCATATTCATTGGGAAATATAAGTTAAAACATAAGACAAATGTAAAATAGAGAGAGATGTCCTGATTTGGAGGGTCTCCATTAGATACTCCCTCCCCTTTTTCTTGAAACTCCTGGCTCACAGGTACCTCATGGTACCCTTTCCTCCTCATCCTCACAGCCTTTCTCCCTGCCCATGTAGCAGATGCTGCAAGTAGCAAACCCAGCAGCTCTGCCAGCAAGGAATTTGCACCAGGGGAATTTCCTCTAAAGCAGGTGTTTTCCACACTTCAGCTGTACTTATCATTCTAAAGGGGCTGTGACATTTCACTGTTCTAACAAAGGGTCTCTAAAGTCATCAAAAATTGCTCTGAATCCCTGGGGACCTCAGTAAAGTGTCTGCCATGAATGCTCATGTGGGTACTGTCACACAGGAGAGCAATAAATGAGCTCTCTGACAACTGCTTCAGCAAAGGGAGTGCAAGAAATCTGCTCCCTGCTCTTGACATTTTTATAAAAAAATAGTTAATCACTTGTACTTATAGCAAAGCTAATAAAAGGAAGGAAGTTAAACTGAGTTAATATTAGGAAGAAAATTAGACAACAACACACAGCACATGGAAGATAAAAGAATCAGAATCTCAGCTAATGCAAATCAGTGCCAGCCCATTCCACTGCCCCCCTGAACCTCTGAGAAGAGGTTCCAGCACAGGACATGGTCCACATCAGCCCTTGCAATTCAATATGTTCTGACTTCACATATTCACTGGAATTTAGCCAGCCAGCAAACACCCTCAATCCAGTTTTGAACAGTTTAAAGAGATGAAAATAAAATGAGGTTTTCCTTTGTGGCATAGGTAAAAGAAATGAAAATACACCATACATTCAGTTACCTGCAGAGCAGGCAGCGTGCATAAGAGTTGATCAGTCAAAGTTTTTCTCTGTTTTTTTAAAATAAGGTTGAGTTATGGAGAAAAATACAATTCCTCCAATTTTTTCTTGCTTCTGCACAAAAGCTTATTTTATGTGGCAAAGATTAAATTATCCTCTAAACCACAGAATCACTAACAACACAAATCACCTGGAAAAACAACAGCTAGCATGTTTCACTTTCTTCCTAACTCAGAAACTAACATTTGTACTTTCAGTATTTATGTCCAAGCCAGTTCCCTTCTAAAGGGACAGCAGAGGTTGACATCTCAAAAAGGTGTGTTTACCACCAAGCAGCCAGGCTTTGAAGGCAGGAATTAAAAATGTATCAATTCAGGGTGACCCCAATATATATAATGTGCTCTGACTCTATGATTTCAGAAGGCTGAACAAATATTTAGCTATATTGTATTACACTAATATTATATTATAACTATACTAAAGAGATACTAAAGAAAAACCCATGACTGTCCCCAGACAGTCACGACACAGCTTTGACTCAATTGGCCAATCAAAACCAACCATCACTGGTGTCCAATTAACAAAACCCTCTTGGTAAACAATCTCCATAACACATTCTACACATGCCAAACAACTGGAGCAGCAAGCAGAGATAAGAATTGTTTTCTCTTCTTGCTCTGTGCTTCTCACTGCCTTCCCCAGGAGAAACCCTGGGAGAGTGAATTATGCCTCTCCCTGTTCAGAGAACATGAATGCCACAAAAACGAGAGCACATGTACTTACCCAAGGAAGAATTGGTGCAAAGTTTCTTATCGTAACAGCTGAACCCTTCCCTCGCCCTCCAGCCGTAATTTTTCCCTTTCTCCACGATGTCAACTTCTTCGTATTTATTCTGCCCCACATCTCCACAGAAGAGTCGTCCCTTCCCCTCCTTGGTGTGAGGGTCGCCCCTGTCGAAGGAGCAGCGCCACATGTTCCTCACACCATAGGCATAGACCTCGGGGCGCGCCGCGGGGTCGCTGACGAAGGGGTTGTCGGGCGGAATTCGGTACAGGGGCCCGCGGTCGTTGTTGTTCACATCGATCCGCAGCACTTTGCCCAGCAGGGCTGATCTGCAATGAAAAAGGTAAAGAAATAAGGCCAGATCTTGGCAAAAAGTCAGAGCAGGGGGAGAGGGTGGGGTTGGAAAGTCTAGGGTCTCATGGAATTGATTTCCCACACCCTGGAGGTGCCATAGGGATGGATCCACTCTGTTGCGTTGTGATTTCAGGGTTTACCTCAGAACCTCAGGTCCCTCCCCTGGGACAATTCCATCCCGGGTGTGTCAGTCACCTCTCCTTTCCCCTCCCAGAACTGTCTGTCAATCCTGGAATTCCAGAAGGGAGTCAAGTGACTGGCAGATTCAAAGGATGCTCTCTACCCCTGGGGGGGCATTGGGCCACCCAGGTGTCCTACGTCCCTTGAGACCTCCTTCTATGGATCTGGTTGGTGGGATCCCTAACCCTTCCCTCCCCTTCTCCCCAGGGTTAAAAGAGCCAGCAACCACAAGATTCATGGAATTCTGTTGGAGCTGTTGCTGGATTCAGAGGCCTGTGGGCCAGGAATAAAGCTCTGGATCCAATTCCTCTATCAGAACTGACTCCTTTCCTTCACCATCGCCTTAAAGCTTCTCCACCAGTGGTAACCGCAAGGAGCAGACCCTGTTACAGGGAAAGCTCCATCCCATAGCCACTGGAGCTCCTGCATGCCTGGACTTGTCTCCACGTGCCCAGCTACAGCACCCAGCCAGCCAAAAGTGTATCTGGGGTGAAAACACCACAGTTGCCACTATTGGGTTCAGCACCAAGGGCCAGACAGGCTCAGGCACATCCCATCTGCCTATATTGGTATTATTCCAATGCACTCTTACTTGTTCTGGGCATTTCCAAAGGTGCCAAAAGGATCCCCAGCCATGCCTCCATCTCCAGTGAAGATGTAGAGATACTCATCATCTCCAAAGAGCAGCTCTCCTCCGTTGTGGTTGGAAGCAGGTTCTTCTATTTCAAGGATTATCCTAAGTGAAAAACAGGGAGATAGCAATTTCCTACTGCACAAGCATTATGCAAAGGGCAGAGCAGCATCATGACAATGTAGTTCTTGACAGATGGAAGCAGCTACAGATTGGTTTTGGTACAAATTCCTCCATATCCATGTTACTGATTTTTCCTGGGGCATAGCTGATTTTCTAACCTTAAATAGTTTTAACATATTTTCCAGATTACAGAAACACCAAATTGTGTAATATGGAAAGTCTGGGAAATCACATGACAAAATATACTTTTAATTGCTTAAACCTTTCCTCTGATTCTTTCTTCCTCCTTGTTAATCTTCTTTTTTATTTTTCTTTATAATTTATTAAAGAAAAGGCATCTGAGCTTATAACCAACTGGAAATTGTAAGAGAAAGGACACCAGTCCATCTGTACAGCTTTTGGCACAGTTCTGCCAGGCACTTTCAAGGCGAACATAAAACTTCTCAAACATTAAGGAATAGTTAAATTCTTAAAGAGAGAAGAATCCTTAAATGATAATTACACACTCAGGACCTTTTGAGTTTAAAGAGCAGTTTAAAAGCAGACCCAAAACAAACTGAATTTACCAAAGGTTATTTAAAGAAGTACCAACAAAATTTATCTTAATTTTAACCCCAAACTCTTTATTTTATTTGTTTATTTTATGCTCCTGGAATCCCTTTCATAGCATGAAAGGGAAAATACATAAACTACATAAACTATAATTTTATAGAATGGTAAAGCCGCAAATACATGCAGTAGAGGTTCCCAAGTATAACAACTGAAGTTTATTATTTCCAGCTTCTAAAAGAGTCCAGATTTCATGCTGGCAGTGCATCTTAATAGCTGCTAAGGCAAATTATAGCACTTACTTTCAGCATCTCATTTTTAGACAGTTTTTTTCCATTCTGAAATATTGGTAGTTATTGTGAGTTGTGTGAAGGAACCCAGCTATGGAGTTATGGTCCTGTTAAGCGTCAGCATCTCTGTGATAAGGTAACTGTGCAAAAGTGCACAGACAGGTTCCAGCTGACAGAAGGAGTGAGGGAAGATCCTGTACGGACACAAAGGTGAATCTTCCTCAGCATCCCGAAGATGGAAAAAACCAAAATTCATTGAGAAACATCTGAGGATAAACAGACACATGCATTTGAGCCAAGGCAGCACACAGCACATGTCAGCCTGAGCTCCCTCTTGGGCAGCAGCTCAGGATGAAGTCAGTGGGACCTGAGCCTACACAAGCACAATAGGACCACAATTTTGTTTTCTTAAGCTTTTGCTGTACTAACCATAAGCTAAGTAAGCACAGAAATTGTTACAAACATAGGGCCTGAGGATTCTTAAACAAGACAGCTCATGGGCTGTTGGTATCTGCAGGTTTCTGGTTCACTTTCCTGAGTGCCACATTGTAATTCCCCTTACCTGTCATCTACAGTGCTGGTTACACTGGATTGCTGTAACTGCTTTATAAACCAGTATCCACTCTCCATCATTAGGCTATGTGCATTTTTGAGCTAGAATCATCTACAGCTGGGTGTTTGGAAAGCCCCTCATAAAATCCAAATAATGAACAAAAAATCTTCAAATTAGTAATATTCAAGGGTCTCTTAAAACAGTGGTTCTATAACTATATACATCTATAGTTACATATATACATATTATACATAACTAACATATAGAATAGTGGTTCTAAATGTTGTAGAACATAGTTCTGCAACAGGTTATAAATCTGTGAGCCTGATTCCACAAACAAGTCTCTCATCATCTGTGTATACTAGTGTGAAATAACTGCAAGACCAGACTCAAACAAATGACATTTCCAATTAAAATGCACTCTGTAATAATACGGTGACTTGTGTTTTATTTAATTTGATATTAAATTTGTAATATCAAAGGGTTGAGTTGTTGTTCAGATAGAGAAACATGGGACCAAATCCATCTTTGGTCTGGTATCATTTAGTTTGTTTATACTAATTTTGGAAATTTTGGCTTTGGAATGAATTTCACTCATTCTTTGCAGATTGCCCTCTTCTTAAAGGGCAATCACAAAAGTACAAAACAAACAAACTTCAAAGCCCCACCCAACAATAACCTCAAAACACTAACTATAAATACTGTTTAATCCATGTTTGGTTAAGTCCTCTGACATGCCAGAACTGAGAACTATACATGTTTTACCCCTGCACACTTGCAGTTCATCCATGGAGGACACACAGCTTTTGCATCTCAATACACTAGGCATGGACTTGGACTAACATGCTAGCACTCTGGAATGCAAAAATTAAGCTAAGTAAGTGTCATTCATTAATGGTCTTTAAAAATGCACATGGCCCTCTAAGATCTTAAAAAAAATGTGTGTACAATACCTTTCAGAACCATGGTCCAAGGCATTCATGTCAGTGGGAGAAATTCTGAACTCACTGATTCGGATTCTCTCTTCAAAATTAACTTCAACTGAGTAGTAGACGTACACTTTACCGTTAAATTTGAATTTAGGATGGAAGACAATGCACAGAAACCCTCTCTCATCTCCCTCCCACGGCGAGGTGAGCACAGCCTCGCTGATGTTCAGGAATGGCTTTTCCAGCCTGGATCCATCGGGGAGGTAGGCCCACACCAGGCCCACCTGCTCGGCGATGAAGAAGCGGTGGGTGCCGTCGTTGGCGTGCACCATGGCCACGGGGTTGCGCAGCCCGTTGGCCACCTCCGTGAGGCAGAGCTGCAGGCAGCCCTCGGCGTCGGCCGTCACCAGCCCCAGGTTCTGGTTCAGGTGCTGGTTGGCCAGCAGGTGAGGGAAGCAGTAGTCGGTGTCCTCCAGGGACAGGTAGCGGCAGAACTTCGCCGCGTTGTTCTCCAGCGCGGTCAGCTCCGGGTCTGCGGAGAGGCCGCGGAAGATGGAGCGGCAGCTGTGCCACAGCTGCGTGCAGTAGTCCTGGCACAGCCCTGGGATCGTCCGCACGGGCGTGGAGGGGTCCTCAGCGTCGTACAAGTGAGCTGCATATGGGGAGCACTCCTAGAGGGAGGGAGGGAGAAAAAGGTTCAAGTCATTTATTGGATCAGATTTGAAACAGCTGAGCAGTGATGCTAATTGGAGATGTGATACTAATTGGAGATATTTCATCTTAATTACAAGATATGTTGTGGTTTATTCTGAAGATGCGTTAACAGAGGGAAAGATCTTAGAGAGGGGGTTTGTCTCAGCACTCATGGAAATTATCTTCAGTGTTCCTGGTGAAAGCTGGCTTCCTCAAGCTGTTACTGATTTATTCCAACCACAGAACTCTTCAAAAAACCCTGCAATGATGCCTATGTTGCTACATCACCCTAGCAGACTGTACTGGGGAAAAAGAGACTTTTCTTCCTTGGATGCTCTGACTCTGTCTATAATAAGATTAATCACAAAGCAGAAGTGAAACCAAAGAATTAGCTGAGAAGATTCAGGCCTGCACACTGATGACAGAATGGGAAAGGCCATCAGGGCCAAAGCCTGGGACATTCATACCTCATCATCTGATAATCCAGGCATGGACCTCAAACATGGATGTGATTTACAGCTTGAAGGAGTGGGATATGAAAGTGGAGAAGGAGGAGGGGAGGACATCATCCTTGCCTGGGTCCAGCTGCCTTTGCTGGTGGACCTTTGCCTAGAGATAGTTTATATCCCAGCCAGGAGTGGGGAAAGGCATCTCATGACCATGGCATGGGTCACCAAGTTCTGTGAGGGATGCTGAGGTTACAGGATTTCAGACAGTGAGCACCACCAGCCATAATCCAGGCAAGGTCCTGGCAGCAGCTGCAGCTCAACCCTTGTTTATGGAAGGTGCAGCCTTGGAAATCTGCTTAAGGACTGGATCGAGTTCACACAGCTCATCGTAATCATGATGAGAACTCCTACAGACACATTTTCCTTATGAAAAAGCTGCAATTCAGTAAAACTGTCTGTAAATTACAAACTGACCAAAGTGACTCAGTTCTGTTTTGCAAGGGTTTTTGCTTGTAATAAACAAAATATTTTCCAGTTATAATGCATCTTCCCAACAATCACCTCAAAAGTGCTCTTCAAATAATGCAACATGACTCTGTGGAGGCTCAATTATTTTCAAAGTTATATTTCAGTAAATACCTGAGGCAACAAAGGTCAGAAGAGAAACCACTATTTAAATAAATTTTGTATTCTTTAATTCCTATCTGGCATTGCTTTTTCTTTTACTAAGCAAAACCAGCTTAATTTAAAAAAAAAATAGGGAGCTGTATCTAGATCTATAGGGAGACATTTATTAATGCAGATTACAACTCTATTCAATAGCTGAAAAGATATAACATCTGAGATTCTGAACTGTTTAAATTAGCTGATGAGCATACACAATATTTAATTTTTATTTTATTTTCCATTACATACCATAATAAACTGAGAGGCCATATAACAGATCATTAGTGTACAATAAGCTTTCCTCCTGGAATGTCAAGCCATTCATTGCAAAATGAAGGTTATTAAGCTTCCAAATGAGCAGCAATTAATGTGGTAAAAAGAAGATTGCTTGTGAAACAAAACACCGAAATTACCCAGGCAGATTGGGTAACACACTTGGCTTGGTTACACGAGGTGTGCCAGGGACAGAAAGAGACAGAGCATTTGTCAATTCACTTGTAATGACTGAAAAAATTGCCTTAGAAAACAAATTGAAATGAGATAGAAAGGGAATTTGATGGGAGGGCTGGGTGGGAGCTCAATCTGTTGTTGCCTATGGAGGTTTCCCATTCATACAGAGGAGGCCCCTCACTCAGTACTCAGGTGTACCTCATTCTGTGAAAGCCTCTTTCAAAGCAAGCAGGGATCTTATGCATTACAAAGCAATGCCCTGGCTTCAGCATCAGAATTAAAAACAGCCCAGAGACAAGGATTCCCTGTCTCTGCCATTGCAGGCTGCTCACCACAGCCTCAGCTGTGTCTGAATAGAAGCTGGGGGCAACTTCACCCCTCCTTACAACATTCCTGGTGGCAGACAGCTAATTACAGCAGCATTACACTGGCAGTGAAATTCAGAGATCTACCACTAGCCTGAAAGCACCTAAGCATGTCCTAGGGTATTTTCAAGACATGTAAATTATTTTCCAAATTTTATTCTGGAAGAGATGGAGCCTCATGCCTTTTGCTGAACTTCTCTGCTTTGGAAGCAGATGTTGTGGTCCTTCAGCCTTCACCTCATCCTGTCATGTTTACATAACTCAAAATATCAAGAAGCTCTACCCGTAGTCAGAGCCCAGAATCAATATTAGATCTAAATTGTCATTTTCCAATGATGCTGCCTGTTCATTAATTTCAAACTAAGATGTGGTCCAAGGACCGAGAAAACTACTGGGCAGATGATCAGTTACTTTAGTAGGGCTGGAACAAGTTTGTACTATGAAAATAACTCATCAGAAAACAAAACAAGTCACATTAAGGCAGGCTAACCAAATGCATCCTGTCTGTTCCAGGAATTCAGTGGCAGCTCCTTATCTGGGGAATTCCAACAGTCTGAATCTGATGGAACACCCACATCAGACAATGTCTTATTTACTGCTGCTATCAGCCTGGAGGAAGCAACAGGACTCCTCAGAAAAGCATTTAACCTCCACAATATCCCTGACATTCCTTGACCACCTCCATGTGGAAACTCAAGCCTTTAAGCAAGCTGTTCCCTGAGAAGCAGAGTGAGGCATCTGCTCTTGCAGTGTGGTGGAGAAGGCTCCAAGGTAATCTCGTGGCACCTTCCTCAGAAAAAGTGGAGAGGGATGATTTACAGGGAGGTGTAGTGACAGGACAAGAGGAAATGGCTTTAAACTGAAGAAGAGTCAACACAGACCAGATTTAAGAAAGAAGTTATTTACAATGAGGGTGGAAATACTATAACAGGTTGCCAAGAGAGGTGATAGAAGCCCCATCCCTGGAAACATTCAAGGACAAGTTGAGCAATCTGATGTAGTTGAAGCTGTCCCTGCTCATTGCAGGAGAGGTTGGACTACGTCCTTTCCAAATAAAACTGTTCTATTATTCTAAGAATTCAGGAAAAGGCAGGGATCCACAAGTACAAAGAGACACTTGTCACAAGAATTTGATCACATTTGAGAGAAATCATGAATTGTGAGCAGAAAGAGACAGAAGTGTGCTGAGTAAGTCACAGGTAATTCAGGTCTAGGATATAAATTGTATATATAATGAATGAATAGAAGCAGAATGTTTCTAGAGCGTTTGCAATGACTGAAGTTCCGTGATGTGCTTGTGCAGCCAAAGGCAGTGGTGTGCAGCCACATCTGGGCTGGTGATGCACTGAGCTCATCAGAACATTTCAGTGAATCATTGCTCCCACAGGGAAATATTTCTCTGCTTCTGAAGACATTTTCAATGGCTGGCTTTCTGATCAACACAGGAGACTTAGTTATCACTTCCAGAAGCAGGAGTGCTTAGCACACGTTGCTAACTGGTGTCCTATCTTTGAATGGACTCTTAGACATTGCTTCTTGCAGAAATATACTCAAATGTTTTTTGCTTCCAGTACAATGTGAGATGAAATAGAAGTCAGTTCTATAGATCCTGGTGTGGAAAAGTGTTGTCTTTCTCTTCACACCTTAAGAAGGTACTGGCAAAATACTAAGAACAGGATTTCTGAAAAGTCATTTTGATCCCATCTGAGCACAGCAGACAAGATTCCACTGTCTGAATTAATTTAAGGTTTACACTTGCACAGTGCTGAGCTGCTCTGTCTCAGGGGCATTTTCATACATGTGAGGCCTCCACTGATGATAGGGTGAGACACTTTGTTCTGTGCAGACTGTGATCATCCCATTATCATATCTGGCCCCAGAACATCAGCTCTGAGTGGAAATTCCCCCTGTGCAGGATGGCCATCACAGAGGTTCCTAGGCCACATCCACAGGCATTGCTCTGCACCCATCCCCAGGATTATTAGCATCTGGCACCTGCTAAAAGTAACCCAATACAATAAAAAGCTCCTGATCCCATCAGCTGGTCATAACAAGGAGCAAGATTTGTGCAGGCAGGTGCACTGTGGGTTTCTTCACCACACCTGGTATCCTGACCCTGGGAGAGGAGGAGAGTGTGCAAACTGAACTGCCCACTTACCTATCTCAGAGACTGCTGCTCCTAAACTAAACAAGAGCAACACCCCTGCTCTTCTTTTAGACAACTGCCAAAGAACAAAAACTCCACTGGGATACTCAATGATGGACAGTCACTCCTTCCAGTACGTGGGAGCACATGCCTGGGCTGCTATGCTATGTCCTTGATGCACTGATGTGTGGGGCTGATGTACCCATGCCTGTGCCCAGGTGCCAATGCCATTGCTGATGCACCTGTGGGTGGGTACTCCAGTGTGGGCTTGGGAATTAAAGTCATGGCTCACACTCCCCTGGACTGTCCAAGGTTTCTGTGCCTGGACCAGTGCATCAGATCAATGCATCCATGGGATCAAAAAGCATCCCCACCCGGGCTCAATGCAGCCCTGCACCAGTAGATGCACACACACATGGGCCAAAGCACTGCGATGGAATAGAAGCATCCATGCCCACACAGAGCCCCGTGCAGGGGCTGACCAGCCCAGTGTGTCTGAGCCCCGCACGGTGGATCCCTCAGTGCATCAGGGGCTCCCGGAGGTCTCACCTGGCACAGCAGCTCCTGCAGGTGCCCGGCGCAGGCGGCGTAGGTGCGCTCGTCGAGGCTGGCGCTGAGGCTGTAGAAGCGCTGCAGCAGGGCGCTGTCGCGGCTCGGGTCGCAGCAGCCGAAGTCGCCGTAGCGGCGGCAGAAGGCGAGGCCCCGCGGCGGCCGGAACGGCGGCTTGAAGTCCAGGCACTGCGGGTGCGGCCGCGCCGGCCGCGGGGCGAGCGCCGCCGCCAGCAGCAGCGCCAGGGCCGCCCGCGGGCCCCGCATGGCTCTGCCGGGACACGGCCCGGGCACGGCCGGCCAGGGGAGCGCTGCCCCCGCCCCGCTCCGCCCTCGGGCCCCGCATGGCTCTGCCGGGACACGGCCGGCCCGGGGAGCGCTGCCCCCACCCCGCTCCGCCCGGCCCGGCCCGGCCCCTCATGGCTCTGCCGGGGGAGAGGCCTCCCCGGGGCCGGCACCGCCGCTGGCCGCACCCGCGGGGTTCTGCGGTGCCTTTGGACGGGAGGTTTTGTTCGGATTCCGCCCAGAGAGCAGCCAGGCAGGTGCTTGGCTGGACAGCCGGCACAGGGTGTCACACAGCCCCGCAGTGTGACGCCCTGGGCCTGGGAACTGATTCCTTAGACCGGCTCCTCAAGGGATGCCTGCTGGACTCGGCTCTGCTGCTGAGGGTTTTGTGCGATCCAGGCACGACAGAGTAATAGCACTCAGAGTAAATGCGGGTGATGAACATGTTTAATAACAAGAAAACCCAACTTTAAAACAACTAGTGCTTCTGTGTACTTCGTCAACCTCATCCTGGGCTGAGACTGATTAAATTTAGCTTTGAGGCTGGAAAGAAAAGGTCTGGTGTAGTCTCTGCACCCTAGGCAGCCCAGGTGACATACTTTGCTCTGTGAAGCACTCAGAATGGTACTCCCTTGGCACAGCTGTTGAGGAAACTTTGCTTACCCTAAAGTTCCTCACGGCACACCCCAGGAAAATAGTTACTCCACATGCACATCATATACCCCTTATCATATGTGGTATTATCAGCTAGTAAGATCTAGTCCCAGGCAGAGGGCAGGTTTTTGCTGTTAAACACAGCTAGCCAAAATGTATTGTGTGTTTTAAAATTAACACACTGACTGCCCCTCAAAGACAAATAAAGGAGTTCATGCTGATTTACTATTTCTGACTCCTACTTTGAGACCAAAGAACTACTGTACAGTGCACGTGGACTATAAAATCACTGCATGGCTTGGAACATCCTGTCAGGAGACCATATGTGTTACACATTTAATACAAGTTTATTTTCTCTCCATATGCTTACATAACTGCTGTTAAGGTCACTCAAAACTCTCATAATGTGCAGGCAACCAGAATACCCAATGATCTCAGTTGAGAATTCTCTGCTCTTTTATTTTTGGTCACTTAAAACCATTTTTGTCCACAGACAATGTTTGCAAGTGCTTTGGAAAGCACATGATCAAGTTACTGGCCCTGAAAAGTTTGAAAGCCATGCAAAAAATGAGTAGGCAGTTATGCAACTCCATATTGCATAAAAAACCTGATGTAAAGACATCTCCCTCTTCATCCCAGCTAATCTTTTATTCCTGTGGTTAACACTGGCTGTTGTTCCAGCGTTTATAATGATTATTAGACACTGTTAATTAACACTAAAACAATGCTTAATATATAAAGAATGGATTGCAGTAGCCAAACATATTCTGGATAATGAGATTTATCCTATAGCCTCTTGATTTGCTATTGGAGTCCTTGATTAGTTTGGCATCCATGAAACGTTTCAGAAATGAAAGGAAAATTAAATGCTGAGCATATTTAACAGTGAGTTGTAGAACAAGAACTACAGACTCGGTCTGCTCATCACTGTGAAACAGCATAAAATACCTTCTGGAAGTCCCCTGTGAGTATTAACAATGCACCTCCCATGCCAGAGCTACCTCTGTTTTGCTTTTTCAGGCAGGGCAATTATTTGGTTGCCTCTCAGGCTGCTCTGCAATTCACGGGCAAGGCTCTGCTGAAGCAGAGACTGGAGCTGCCTTGGCTTATTAACGAGATTATTCAATTAAAGATGGCTTATTTTGCAGCTTGTTGTCAGCTGAGTTTTGAGGCTTCCCAGGCCACAGGTAGGAGCTCCTGGGCTGCATTTGAGGGATCTGTGGTGTGGTGCATAGAGCACACAGCTCTGGCTTTCTTTCCCAGCTCTGCCTGGAGACCTAACTTACTATTCCCAAGACACTGTGCTTCTGCCTGGATTCTCCCATTCATGGAATGAGGGCAGTGAATGCTCATCCACCCCATGGCAAGCTCTCAAGGTGTTGTTTATTTATATTTTAACCACCTTTTTTTCTTTTTTTATGAGTTCTCTGCTGAGCCATTTCTAGAGACTAAGCTCAGAAGGGGAGCGGTTACCCTTGACCTGACATGCTAAATTTGAAGTTGCCCTTGTTCCTACCCAGGGGCAATAATATGCATCTGTGCAGCAGTCACAGAATGGGGATGAAGTTTGATTTAAGCAGTATTTTCCAAGATCATATGGTAGTTTGAGAATTTTGTACTCAGAAGGTTTTGTATTAAAATGACTCATTTTTAATTTGGTTAATTTGAATAATCATTCTTGTGCCTGGTGGCCTGAATCAATCAATTAAATATTTTGTGCTGTATATCAGCTATTGGAAACAAGTCCTTTTTTCTTTTATTTTATTTTTGGTGGCTTTTTAATTTATATTTTAGTTAAGATATTGGATTTTTTTACTTTCAAGTTTTGATTTTTTTACACTGAAGTTTTTTACTTTAATTAATTAAAGTCAAATTTAATTAATCCTCAAAATTAGAATTTTTATTGATGGATGAAATTGAAGAAGGCAGGTGTGAAAAGGTTGGTTGTGCTTGCAAACAACACAACATTAAGGCACAAAAAAACCCTATATTTAAAAAATGTTGTTTGTTTTGGTGTATGAAACCTGAAATCTTTAGTGACCATTGAAGCAACTGATAGTTGTAGGTACCCTGCACCTCAAAAAAACTTCCTTGTGTACCTCAGATTGAGATCCTTGAATGTGCAACATCCAGATTTTTTCTCTTCCTGCATACATGAGAATTTGGTAGTGTTCATGGGACTGTGGGCATGAATGAGTGAATGTGAGCACATTAATTAAAAATGTAAAAAAATTTGCAGTTATTTGATCAAATGACCAATATTAGACCCTGTGTCTAGAAATCCATCCTTAAGGGGAGCTTGATGCTCTGAGGTTTAATGGCCAAAGGACACACTGCTCATACCCAAGTCAGCTGTGAACACCATCTCTAAAAACTTAACAGTCAGGAATTAAATACAGGGTTATGGCTCTTCTCAAAGGAAATTAGGCTTTGCTTTCTCAATGCTCATCTGATCACAAAACCCTTCTGCTCCTCTTTTGTCTTCTCAGTGTTCTATTTTCCTGACTGGTGCAGATACTGAGGACAGATTGTTATTATGAGAATAAAATAAAGGAAAATGTGTGTGTGCCTGTGCACACAAACCTACAATGCAGGTGAGTTAAGACCTGAACAGAACAGAACCCATGCTAGGCAGTCTGTGATCCACTGGCATGGAGACTGCTCTTTCACACAGCTCTTACTATTCTACACAAACAATTGAAAAAATATATTAAACCTGAGGAAAGATGAAAGAAGAGTTTTACAGCACAGTCAAAAGCAAACGGGCATTTTCTGTTCAAGGTGATTTTCCAGGGAACACAAGTAGCTGAAGTCACACAGGCAGTGACAGGCCCAGCAATCCATTTTGATATTGGGGCAGTGTTTAATGCTGGAATCCTGGGGAGCCAGCCCAGTGCAGGCAGCTCTGTGTGCTGGATCAGGAACACTGGCACAGGGCTCCATGAGCAGAATTCCCACTGCGTCCCGGCATGCTGGGATGACTCAGATGTGGAATGAAACGAACTGCTGCAGCATCAAAGACCTAATTTCTCATTCTAATGGAACAATGTGAGTCCATCACATCCTTTAATCGTGCTGTGATGAAGCACCTTCAGCAGTAGCCTTTGGTGCACGTTTCTGGGCTCTGTGTCATGTGTCATGGCAGATTTTTGTACAAAGCAGTGAGGCAACCCTGCAGAGGATGTAAATCAGCAGAGCTCAACCACAGTGTATAATATCCAGGATTCCCATACAGGTGACACATTGCTAAATGCTCTTCCTGTCCTTCTTATGTTCATTTTATGCACAGGCAGGATGAAAACACCACAGTTTTACAGCATTCACAGCCCTCAGATAATTGCTTTTTTTGCTCTCAACTTGCTACCATAGAAATTCTAATGTCAGAGTCCTCAAGAGACCATATGGGCAGTAAACATTCCTTATGTGTTGCATGTGCAGAAAGAACATATTTTCTTATCAGTTCATACAAAAGCAGATCATGCATAAATGATTTTTTTAAATTACTACTATTTTCCCTGCGGTAACAGCAATAGAACAATAAGTAACAACCCTTGAATGGCTTCTCTCTGTTTTATAGTACATGGATCTTTTTATTTTGGTCACAAGAGAAATAAAGACATTAAAATGTATATTTCTTTTCAGAAAGTGTTGTATTGATTTTATGTAACATCTGAATATTTTGTGTTGTAACTTAACATATAACCATATAATTTGTCTATAACAAGAAATAGACCAAAAGACTTGCTCAGTGAATTGTACAAATGAGCCTTTCCTCATCAGTGATCCAAGGCATAATAAAATACCCCGCTTTTTCATTTCCCTCTGTGAGGTGAAAAAGCTCACTTACAGAAGCTAGTGTATTCCACTGAAAGAAAAGGTGATTAATCATAGCTTGAGCTCATACTCAAAAGGAAAAAATCCCATTTGGATCCAGGCATTTGTCCCAGGATCATTCAGTTCCATCTCTAGTTTGGAGAGAATAAGGCTTTTTTGATTAAGAACCACAAAAATGTTACTTTGTTGGAAGAAAGCTAGCAGCAGCCAATGCTGCTATTACACCACCCCTGTTGAAGGACAAAAAGCTAATAAACAGCTTGCTCAGATATTTTCTAATGGTTGAAAATACAAGTCATAGCCAATAAAAGCCAGCTGAAACTTGAAGGATTCTTCCCCAAAGTAATCAGGTTATGCAGCAAAGAATGGACGCTGGTCTAAACCCAGAGATATTACAAATTTAGTATTTCTTAAATCTTTCTGGGAAATGAGGTGTATAACTGATAGCTCAACCAAGCCCTCAGACATGTATTTCATAAAAAACATACCTAGAG